CAGAGGGTAATCTCGGTTTGATGGGGACATTCCATCCCGAATGTCAAATGTGAAGGTGGTATGCTGCTGTATTGTTTCACGGGTAAAGCCTATGGAGCCATGGAAGGCCCACTGACCATGCTTGACAATCCTGCTGCGATGGGCTGGATTGGCTTTATAGATCTATATATATATATACATATATACATTTCATAGCATACTTACAATATATATATATATATACTATATAATATATATATATACTATATATATACTATATATATATACACTATATCTGCTGCAATTAAATGATGGTGTGTGTATATATATATATATGTATATTTAATATTGATATGAATGGTTTATATTGCAGTAAATATTACAGTATATATGAATGATTTTATATACAGTATATACTGCAATTTATATCAACCAACTCCTACGTGGGATCCAGCCTGGTCCCATTCATGTTGAAATCCTCACCAGCCCTGTGGCAAGGATTCGCTTGGTGAACCTCCAAGTCTTGGCTACTTGGACTGGGTGCTGGGTCGAAGATTGTAGATATGATGAGATATGAAGATTATGAACCTTTGACATTGATATGTATATATATTTGTATATACACATTATATATATATCGATTGATACTGAATACAATGCAATGTGTATATCTTGAGATATTGTCAGCTGTCTTGTACATATCAACAACAATCTGCAGGTCTGGTTCATTCGCAATGTGAAATGAGTATATCAGATGTTGTTTTTTAAGCCTTAAATGGTGAAATATTAGAATGAGATATGATGACCCAACTAAAGCTTAAGGGAGACTTCCAGGTTGGCTAAGACAAGAAGACCCTCTGGTTTGCCCCGAATGTTACAATGGTGTCCAACCTGTTTGGGCAAACCACAGGGTCCGTAAAATCAGCCAGTCAGTCAGCAGTGCCCTGGGGGCAGTTTCCTCCCGGAAGTAAGCTTGCTGCTGGTACACTCTGGTGGTGTATCACTGGCACAATAGGCAAAATGCGGTATGTGACTTTCAGGGTGACGCAGAGATTGAAGATGGTTTTAGTATGTTATAGTTATTTTGGTGGTTTGCTATATATATATATAAGTATCACATAAGTGAATCATTTACACGGGGGCCCCTCTTCCTGCTTTCCTCCCTAAAAAAATCGGCGGAATCGCGTGATGTTCATCACCTTCCGGCGATCTGAATGTGGCCATCCCATGTTGAATCAACGTCTATATCGATGCCGATATCACAGATATATATATAAAAACATGTATATGTATATGTATATATATATATGTGCAATATACAATGTATATAGAATACAAAATCCCAAAATCTCAAAAAACCAGTCAAATGTGTTTTCCTTTTTTACCACTCATTGTTCAAAGCCTTTGCAAGCAAGCGTTATCATCATTTGTGCCATGATCAGGACGATGGTTTTATTATTGCCCAGGTTCTGGGAATGGTCATCGATCATATGCAACATGTGTATACCGATCCCATTCGGTAGGATAGTATCCCCATCTTATCCCATCTTATCCCCATTTTGGTTGCTTAACTATATATTGCTTAAATCAGATCAAATCTCCACAAACAAAAACATCTCGGTGAAATCTGTAACCGTGGCGCTTTTGGGAATGAGATCGCTTTTTTAACAGGCCTCTGAAGAGAACTATTTGCAGATTCTTGGCTGGACTAGGCGCGGTCTCCCCTGGTTCGCTTTCTCGGAATGTTCGCTTGCCACTTGACCAAAACTGTTGAGTCTTGTAGCATAACATTCTTGACCCTAGTGATGGAGGATCACTATAATATATATATATATAGTTATTTAATATTATATAACATGGTATATATCATATTACATGATATTATATGTATATGTAATATGATATATATATATATATAAATATGTAGACATAGTTTTCAATTTCCATACCAACATACCAATACCAGATCAAATTGAAATTGAACCGCCGAACTACAACCAACCGCGTGTTTGTTTTCTTTTGGGGGTGGGAGGTTGCAACCAACAACCAATCAACGGATTTGTAAAAAATAAACCGGCAAGATCGATGGGCAGCCCAGTGAGCCAAGGATTGAAGAGATCAGTAGCTCACAAAAGCAAGAGAGCTCCGTGAGCGGTGTCTTGGCCGCTGTTGCATCCAATTGTTTTGGTTTAAACATATGGGGGGTTCTTAAAATAGGGGGGATCCCCAAGTCACGATAGGTTTCAATACTAAAAATGTCTAATGACTTGGATGATTTGGGGGTACCCCCATTCTAGAAAATTCTAATATATATATATATACACATTGTTTTCTGAAGTGTTCTTTCTTTGAGAAAGTTGATTTGAGCGCCATTTGCTCTGGTGACATCCTCACTTGTTTTTTTTTTAAATATCCCATGTTTAGTTGCTGCAGTCCCACTGTTGTTGGTCAATTCCTGTTGCTGTGTTGCTGGTTGACATCCACATGCATTGGTTTTCCCCAGATGTTCTCTTGGACCAAGCCAGTAAATGGTGATAAGGTCAATCGGTCAATGTTTGGAAAGCTAATACCCAGCTAACATCATGGTTTCGTTTTGCAAGAAAACCTTGGTTGGGTAAGTGGTTTAAGACTTGATGTTGTATCTTGGGTATGTGTTTTAAAGCCAACAACTTATTTACAATATGTTACAATATATGTATATACACATAATTACATATCGGAGTGTATGTAGTGATATATATATATATGCCCTCTGGCTGTTTGAGGTAGGGAACTGGAAAGTTAACATGTGTTTGACGTAAATCATATTAAATCGTCATGTTTTATCATCGAACTAAATAGGCCATCTATACCATAGCAAACCCTGGCAAACTGTAAAATAACCAGAGGGTAAATCTAAATCCCATTTTTATCCCGGTATCTTCCCACATCCAATTTTCATATCCCCATTCCCATATCAGAAATCATCTTAAATCCCCATGAAATCACGATTAACCCATATTAAACACCATATCAAATCACCATTAAACAGTTTAATATGGTGTTTAAACACTATTAAACCATGGTGTTTAGTACTGTTTTAAACCATATGGAACACCATTAAATCACCACAACCAGAGGCTACCCAACAGCCCACCCAACGCCCTGCCTTGCAGCCCGGCGCGAGGTGGATCTCCTGGATTGGTTCTGTCGCTGGTGACCAAAATTGCGCAGATGAAGCGTGGTGAACGTGGGGACGGCTGCAGAGCTGGATGTAATATGATAGTTATCGGGATTTAGTGGGATTTCATGGGATTTAGTGGGATTTATAGTGGGATTCCATGAGTTTAGTGGGAGTTGATGGGTTTTATTGGGATCTCATGGGATTTAGTGCGATTTCATGGGAGTTCATGGAATTTAGTTGGGTTTCATGGAATTTAGTGCGATTTCATGAGATTTAGTGGGATTTGATGGAGCGAAATTCATTGGTATTTAGTGGAATTTAGTGGCATTTCATGGGATTTAGTGGGATTTCATGGGATTTAGTGGGATTTCATGGGGTTTAGTAGGATTTCATGAAATTTAGTGGGATCTCATGGGATTTAGTTTTCATGATATTTCATGGGATTTCATTGGATTTAGTAAGATTTCATGGCATTTAGTGGGATTTCCTAGGATTTCATGGGATTTAGTGGGATTTCATGGGGTTTAGTTGGATTTCATGGGATTTCATGGGATTTAGCGGGATTTAGTGGGGGTTGATGGGATTTAGTGGGATTTCATGGGATTTGGTGGGATTTCATGGGATTTAGCGGGATTTAGTTGGATTTCAGGGGATTTAGTGGGATTTCATGGGATTTAGTGGGATTTCATTGGATTTAGTGGGATTTCATGGGCTTTCATGGGATTTCATGAGATTTAGTTGGATTTCATGGGATTTAGCGGGATTTAGTTGGATTTCAGGGGATTTAGTGGGATTTCATGCGATTTAGTAGGATTTCATTGGATTTAGTGGGATTTAGTAGGATTTCATTGGATTTGATGGGATTTACCGCGCGAGCGTTATATAAGTTAAGAATGTTGGTTGCCGATGGCCAGGGTCATCCAGGGTCCATCAATTTCTTAGCGGAAAGGCCCCATGTATGTCAGTGTATATGTACAATTATTCGGTCGAGGGTCCCTTAATTTCTTAGCAATTTCTTAATGTAGTATTTGACAAGCAGTCAGATTTGAAGATGTAAGAGCGGGGTTGCCTCTGCGCAGCTCCTTTCGCGAGTTTGACTCCGCCATCCTTGCGCCACTTCCCAGTGGCTCCTGGGCGCAAAGGAACAGTTACCCAGTCTCCTCTGCAGAAAGCTCTTACCAACCCTTACATGATTAAGAAATAGGAGGGCTGGGTTTCTTAGCTATGTATAGAATTGAACCCTTACCCAGCGGCAACAAGGCAGCACAGGCAAGGCAATCGAAGGCAACACGAGCCAAGGGCGCAGATGACCTGCAGTGAGTCTGGCTAGTATCTGGCTGAAAGTGTTGCCTTCAGACTTTGTGACCGTGCAGTGGCTCGACCCTGGGTTGGTTCGGCTTTTTGCTTGTCATTCCCAACCATGCCATGGTTGTCAAAGTTCATTTTGGCGGGTATTTGGTTGCAAGGGAGGCTGGCTCCGTTTCCCGCTCCGAATAGAATCTTTATAAGCCATTTCATGGTTAAGAAAATTGAGCAGGGGCGCAAAGGGGCTCCTTCAAATACATCTAAATTTCTTAGCCTTAAAAAATTCCACGGCCCCTCAATTTCTTATCTTCCATTTGCATATACATATTCCACAAAACATATATGCGGCAAAAAAATCAAGTCCCTCATTTTCTTATACAAGGAATTCTTATACAGTGCTTGGACCGGAGTGGGATTTCGTGGGATTTCATGGGACCTCATGGGATTTAGTGGGATTTCATGGGATTTAGTGGGATTTCATCGGATTGAGTGGGATTTCATGGGATTTAGCGGGATTTAGTGGGATTTAGTGGGATTACATGGATTTAGCGGGATTTCATGGGATTTAGTGGGATTTCATAAGATTTAGTGGGATTTAGTGGGGTTTCATGGGATTTAGTGGGTTTCATGGGATTTCGTGGGGGTTTTAGTGTTGCAAAGCTAAGGTTGTAAGATCCATACTCCGGATGGAATGTGTCAAAGCCTATGGTACCAGGGAAATAAAATTCATCAGTAAAGTTAGGGTACCTAGCTACCAGCATTTTGACACATAACCATCTAAAGAATTGGAGAACTTTTTTGGGGAATCTCACGAAGATGTTTTTAATTTGTGTCATGGTAATATAATTTGTGGGATGGATCAAGGCGTCTTTCGATTTTTCTGGTGGGATTAACATGGATTAACATTGGTTTACATCCATCAAACACACTCAGCCGTTTTGGACGTTTGAAATCCTCAAATCGCTTCCAACAGTCTCGGGGTTTACTTTCTTGGGTCGTCATGTGCAAATTGGATCGTCCCAGGGCTGGAAATGACGACCGCACTGCGTTGCGCCACTGGAATGATGATTAGTAAGGGTAACTATCCCCAACTGTTGGGTTGGTGAATTATCGTATATATTTGAATCATACATATATATAGATATATACACATATATATATATATATATTTATAGTTCACTTACATATTATATATATATACACATAGAGTCTCAACTGTCTCATATTTGGATATATGTATATACTATCATAGACGGTTTAAATCTGCCTGGGTACCTTTGCGACGTCATCCAGGATGTTCGTTCGACACACGGCAACAATCTCCGCACTGGATACCACTGGGAAGCCCAAGTTCTGCAAGGATATGTGGACTCCAGGACGACTCCAGTGTCATCCAACGTGGCTGGGAAATACCCAAACTAAATGGAGCTTTGAATGGGAATCTCATAGGAAAATATGTGGAAAAATGTGAAGAGATTGGACCCACTAAATGTGGAGGTTTCTGAGAAAATCCTCGAAGTAATAGTAAATGATGGATTTTGCAGCAAACAATGTTTGATTACCAGAGGGTAATCCTGTTGAAAAGTGAGGTAATAAACTGGGGTGAACCACTTAAACTTATCCAGTGTGGGATCGATTCGGACGCTCATGTTGTATCCATATTCCCAACAAGAAATGGGAAGCATCAGGGAGCTACGAATTGCAGCCTTCTGATCGTGTATTGTATGTTAAGTTAATGTAAATTATAGCCGCTTGCTCTGGGATAGTTTGTGTGATTTCAACAAGAAAAATGCATTTTGCCCCCTTTATCGGGGGTGTTGGGAGCAACCCCGCAGACCCTCAATAAATGGTACCCCATTATTGTTGGGCTGGTAGTTTTTCACACTTACAAATTTCGTCAAACGATGGAATAAGGGTCAAGGTAGCTGTGAAAAGAGAGGGCCATGATGGGGTTATTGTTGAGATTAGCAACCAAAAAATAGAGATGACGTGCTATCCAACAGGAAAAAAATGTACGGTAAAGCTTCCTTGAGTAGGCTAAAGCAGTTTCTTTTGAGCTTTGCCAGAAATGGAAAAATATCTACCAACCAGTGAGAAATTAAGCTTAGTGCAAGGGGCTGTAAGATTAGCCATGCTTTGTGAGTTTTTATCGATACCTTTCGGTTTTCTGGCCTGGCGCTTGAAAATCCCTGTGCAAGTAACGAAGTAGATGATGTCCCTTCATGTTTCCATGGCACAAGTTGGAATTTACAAGTCAGCAACCAGCGATGTTTGTTTACCAGAGGGGAGATAGCAAACAGAGATGGTATGTTGAAAAAGGAAAAACCTCACGCCCCCCAAAGCATGGTATGGTGTTAAGATGTTAAGATGAACATTGAACGTGCCAGACAGTGGTGATTACTCCACCAGCTTGCTGCTAGCATCCGGTGCACAGCTACTTTCAGAAATTACAGCCCTCATTACCGTGCTTTGGCATGGCAGACTTCTTTCAGCATGAAATCTGGCCATGTGTGTATGTGCACCCTGGACTGTATCACGCATTTTGAGACCATGCTGCCTCAGAAGTTGACGAAATTGAGAGTGAGGAAAGCTAATGCTCAGGCTGACACATATGCATATCCAATGAACAATGCTTACGCAGGCAACTTGGCCTTTGGAAGATGTGACTCAAGTGGTGGCGTTGACACATTATTATGGTTTGATAATTTGATACAACATATGTACGTAAAGAATGTCAGACAATGATCTGCATTATCTAAACCTATTTTACACACGTATCATTGATATAAAATGCGTGCATTTTGTTAAATTAATTTGACAATACATACTTACATACATAGTATTATATATATATTATAATTAATATAATTACCTCCCAATTGTCATATCTTTTATCGATGTTCTATGGCTAAACTGAGGGTCCAATCGGCCCCGGCGTTTCGTCCGCAGGAAAGACTCCCGAGAAGTCCTATGCCGTCGGCGTAGCTTGGATTTCTTGGATTCGTTGGAAAAATCGGTTGGGGAATTGGTGAATTTCGTGTAAGTTCTGGGGGGGTCCTAAAACAATCTATTGAAAGATCCAGCATTTTTCATGAGAAAAACCACTATTTCTATAGCCATGTTCAATGTCGCGAACTGTTGAATTACCAGAGGGTACCCCAAAAGTGGGATCGCTCCATGGGGATGGATCAGCTATTTCTGATTTGATGTTTACCAAGTTACGGTTGGGGGTTGACCTATAAAAAATTACCCGGGTAACTTAGCAACCATTCCTGGTAAGTACACATGAAACATAAAAACTTATTAGTTACCATTAGGCTCATTCAGTGACTGGTAAACTGGGTGAAACTGAGACATTGCTATCTTTTGCTTTCAGCTATCATAGGCAGTCATTGGAGAAAAAAACACACATATCTAATAATTATATATATATATACATACATAGGACATTGTAAGGTTCAATCATCAAAAGTGGGGCTTTGATGTCCATGTGTGTATATACATATATACTCTACACATATATATATATATAATTATATATAAAAGCTTTAGCCAGCAAAAATGTTGGTTAATGGGTATCATCGGAATATCATGGGAATTTTGGCAAATTGCAACTGCAGCAGCACACACAGTTGAATTTGGTTAAGGATGAAAGACACACATCGCCCCCCCCCAAAAAAAAAATATTTGAAGGATATCTCAGGTTAACCATGGATAAGATTTTCAGAATGATTTCGGTGATGTCCGGGTATAGCTGCAGTGCCCTAAAAATTAGAACCCCAGAATGATCAGATGGCATTTAAGGCGTGGAACATCTTGGAACCATGTTAGATATGTTAAAGATCTTAAATGGCATTAAAGAAGATTTAAACATCTTGTTCCATTTAAATGTTAAAGATCTTGGAACATCTTTTTAAAGATGTCTTAATTTTTAAAGGTCCCTGTCCGAAAATAGAACATGGACTCTATGGACACATACTTGGGGGATGTAGTTGTCCTACCTGGAGAACTGAGACCTACGATGTCACTGTTGATCAGGGGAACAATCCCGGCACCAGATTGGTGAAGAGATTATTGTACATTGAATGATCATGAATCATCGCATTTGTCTGAAAATAAGGTACCCACAAATTGGTTTATTATCATTTAGAATGACTTTTTGGGGTATGCCCCATTTTCAGACACCCATATTCAGATTAGGAAGCCATTTGAGCCATTTCCTGAAAGTTCTAGGGTGTAAACATTGTTTTTTCCCTTCTGGCAGGCAATTCAATGGGTTTTCCTGACATCAGAGTGGAAACATGGGAAAACCCGTTCTGAAAACTCTTACAGAACCCTGAACATGGTGTCTCGGAAAAAACCTTGCTGTGGGAACTTGGCATTTTCGGGTTCGATGTTAGTTTTGCTGGGTAGTGAAACCGACTAGTGACTAGTTGACCTCTTCATATGTGTGATTTAAGATTGGTGGCTTGAATCTACCTTTAATGTTCGATCACATTAAATCATTTGGGATTATATATATATACAATTATATACATACCATATATATATAATTTTTAGATATCTTTAGACTATTCCTACTAAGTAACTTGACTTTCACATTTCTTCATGTGCCCCAGGCTCCAAGGTCTTGTGCTCCAGGAGCATGTTGACGACTGTTCATATATGGAGATCAGGGGGATCTCCGTTGAACCTCGCTGGTTTTATATCCCCAGGTGGAGTGTAGCGCCGCGAAAACGGATCAGGAAGCAGGAGAGGATGAGGCCGGGAGGGGGATGAAAAACCATGGACGTACTGAGCTCAGGAAAAATCCATGGTAAAATGGTGAAAAAACAACATGATAACCTTGAACTTAGAGTTTTCAATCGAATTTTGAGTTTGTTCAAAAATCAGGAAACATCCATGGGATTTCCACCTATCACGAATGGGATGAACGACCTGGGATGCAATTTGCTGCGAATCTGGGATTTCCGCTGGGTGAATTCTGTACCTTGAGAAACCATCCCATGTTATGAGTCTTATGATGTTTGAATCAACCACGTGGATCTGATCTGGTGATTAGTTGGTTCCAACAATAGGTCATTGTACCATTGGTACCATTGGTACCATGATCAAATGATGTTCCATTGTCCAATTGGTTCCAACAGTCTTTGGTCATTGACCATGATTAATTGGTTCCTAGGTTCTTTTCCACATAGATCATGTCTTCTTTGCCGTGGGATAATTCTTTGTCCGGGCCTTGATATGAAAGCAGAGGTGCTTTACCGATGAGAACCATTGAAGGCAAAGTTGCTTCGTCCCATCCCCCGAAATTCTTAGACTTACTATATATATATATATATATCATATATTGAATATATGTGTTTATATGTATATTATGTTAATATAACATGTTCATATACATATATATATATTATTAATATGTATATATATATTATGTCAATATATATATATAATATGTCAATATATATATAATGTGACTATATATATACAACGTGAATATATATATATATATATACAACGTGAATATATATATATATATTGTGAATATATATATATGTACTGTGAATATATATATATATATATACCCAAAAGCTCTGGTTAGGCTAATTCCTGCCTATTAGGTTGTTCTAGTTTTTAAGGTTAAATTCTATCTATTAGGTTATTTCATGTTCTGTCTTTTAGGTTGTTTGCCTGTTTGCCTAAATAGGTTATTTAGCCGAATAACCTAAAAACTGTCTTGTTTGAGACTTTGTTTTTCTTTCACCAAACTATATTTTCAACAGTTTAAACTAAAGACACAGTCTTTTTCCATATTTGTTTCCTTTGGAATTTTTGAATTACATGTTTTTTTGGCAAATAGTTTTTCAAATGTTTCTTCATTGTTTTGTGAGTGATGTATGTCACTTTCTTTTGATATATGCGGGTCTGAAGTGATTTTTTGTGCTAAAGTGAAGCCTTTTGTGCTAAAGTGAATCTGTAAATTTCAGTCGGATATGTTTTAGATGGGGCAAACCAACACAGCATGGAAGCAACAAAAACACATGTCCAAAACAATATGAGCAAATGGGTATGTCTCAACATGAAGTGTCCTTTTTTGACCCCAAAATGGTTACGTTGAAGGGAAAAAAGGTCACCTCATTTTCAGACATACCCAAACAAGAAAAAAAACATGTTTTGCAACAATGGCAATGGATAGTTTTTGGGAGCGCCAAGCCAGCACAGGATGAAAAAACAAAAACAAGAAGAAAAATGAAACCAACAAATGCAAAAACAAGGTAACGTCGTCCATTGCGGTCCCGCTGTTTTTGTTTGTTTTGAAAACAAGCATCTTGCTATTTCGATAACCCTTATGGCACTTTCTGTCACCATGGATTTTGCGCCATGTTCAAATGCCTTGCGTTTTACAGCACTTTGTGTCCATTTTGTGCTATTTCCAATGGGTTTTACAAGTCGATGTGCAAATCAGCGAGAAAAAAAAACGCTTGGAAGCCAGCAATATGTTAGGATCGTGTTGCATACATGATAGACCAGACATAGACACATACCTTGCATACTTGGACATGTACACTGATTCTTATATACATATATGCAAGTATATATATATATATTTATTTATTTATATCCATATATATATATACATATATATATAAATATATATGTGTAACCTGACACACACACAGACATGCACACACACACGCACATATATATATATATACATATACATATAAATTCGAGACCATCAGAAATATCTAGACTTACAGGAAAGCACATCTCTGACACTGCAGCCTGAAAGTGTCTTGCAAGGCCTGTTTCTTAACGTTAACATCCCAACCCCACCCCACCCCAACCCCAACTGGCAGCGTAACATCATCAGCGTACCATGAACGTTAACATCCCACCCCACCCCAACCCCAACGGGCAGCGTAACATCATCAGCGTACCATGAACGTTAACATCCCACCCCACCCCACCCCAACCCCAACGGGCAGCGTAACATCATCAGCGTACCATGAACGTCCCACCCCAACCCCAACGGGCAGCGTAACGGCGCAGCGTAACATCATCAGCGTACCATGAACGTAACCCCGGGTACCCGTAACATCATCAGCGTACCTGAACGTCACCCCACCCCACCCCAACCCATGTTTGTTAAAAACTAGCAAATTACTGGCAGCGTAACATCATCAGCGTACCATGAACGTTAACATCCCACCCCACCCCACCCCAACCCATGTTTGTTAAAAACTAGCAAATTCCCCGGGGCCGTATTGGACGACGTCAGCAAAAACAACAACACACAGTAATAAATCAAAAATGTGAAAGCAATTGTCCAAAACCTAACTTGTCAGCTGCATCGTTTATGAAACTCAGAGGAGTTCATGTGAATTCGCGGGTGCTCATTGCTCATGGGTGTTCATGTGTGTTTTTCATTTTTTTCGGCTGCCACCTATTTAGTTTACGCAGTGGGTTTCCATGCCCAAAAAGAAAAATCAAAGGATATGTTTCGTGAGGTTCGCGCGCGTTTTTTGGGTATAAAATGGCTGCCCCCCGGCGCGCGAACCCAACCAAAAAAACAAGTTTAGACAGTTGCTGATTTGGTTGGTGGTTTTTTGTCTCATGCGCTGCTATTTGGCTGCAAAACCTGTGCCTTGGTGACCAGATTGAAATCCCTGAGTTCTTGGTCAGCTTGGACTCGATGGTTATTTGTTGTTTTTTTAAGATAAATTTGGGGCTAGAGAACCCCAAATCATTGGCAAACCTTGGCTTTGAAGGGCATTTGTTGAAATCATCATAAACAAAAACTGTCAAGACTGGAAGGTTTTTCACTTGTAAGAAAGTAGTGGCAAGCACAAAATGTTTGAAGACTTGCTTGGTGAGGATTGGTTGTATTCGAGTTGTTTTTGCAAAAACTAAACGGAGCAATCCAGCCAAGACTTGATCAATCACTAAGGGGGTCTCCATCCCTCAAAGCTTTTTACATCAAAACGCCTGCCCAAAGATTTGCAATCACCTGGGGCTCTCCATCCTTGGCCTTTCTCCCCATTGAAAAAAACAACGAAACCACCAAACAATGCAACTGACTTGAGGTGATCAGCATTCATGTCTTTGAGGCAAGTTTTAAACCCAGAATTTACCCAAAATAAAGAGAAGGGGTGTCAATCCCAGAGCCCATCCATTACTACGTTTTTTTTTCCTCAAACCTATTTGCAAGAAAATGCAATCCAACCCAGAGTTAATCGATCACTTGGGCCTTCCCATGCCAGTCCATTTCCTAAAAATTAATTCAAATGTTTTGCAATGACTTGGGACCCTCCAGTCATCAAATTCATTCACATTTGCATGGGAAAATTTCTCCCAGAAAGTGTATGGTTGAAGATTTGTTGATGGAAAAAAGTGATTGACCAAACATTTTTTTGACAAGAAACATTAAAAACACAAGTTTTTTTAAATAAAATCAAGATTTTTGCTGAATAAACATGTTTTTAAAACTAAAAACCAAGATTTTTTGAATAAATTCAAGATTTTTTTTAAATAAATCCAAGATTTTTCAAAGATTTTCAAGGAAATGAGGTGTAAGTTTGATGTAAGTTTGCATCAAACTTACACTTTTGAGGTGTAAGTTTACATCAAACTTACACTAAACTTACACATCAAGAGTGTAAGTTTACACCAAACTTACATATCAAAAGTGTAAGTTTACATCAAACTTACACTGGGAAGTGTAAGTTTGCACTTGTATGTGTAAGTTTGATGTAAACTTACACTTTTGATATGTAAGTTTGGTGTAAACTTACACTCTTGATGTGTAAGTTTAGTGTAAGTTTGATGTAAACTTACACCTCAAAAGTGTAAGTTTGATGCAAACTTACATCAAACTTACACCTCATTTCCTTGAAAATCTTTGAAAAATCTTGGATTTATTTAAAAAAAATCTTGAATTTATTCAAAAAAAATGGTTTTTAGTTTTAAAAAACATGTTTATTCAAAAAAAAACATTGGTGTTTATCCAGTTTTTTTGAAAAAAACATGTTTTTTTTAAATGTTTGATCAGTCATTTTTTCCATCAAAAAGTCTTCAACCAAACACTTTCTCGGAGAGATTTTCCCATGCAAATGTGAATGAATTTGATGACTGGAGGGTCCCAAGTCATTGCAAAACATTTGAATTAATTTTTAGGAAATGGATTGGTGGGAAGGCCCAAGTGATCGATTAACTCTGGGTTGGATTGCATTTTCTTGCAAATAGGTTTGAGGAAAAAAAACCGTAGCAATGGATGGGCTCTGGGATTGACAACCTTTTTCCCCCTTTTCGTAAACATGAATCTGAAAACTGCAAAACCCAAAATTTAATGGCAAATTCCAGGTTTAACTGCATAGAAAATGTGAATGCTGAACACCCCAAGTCATTGTTTGTTTTTACTCGCATTTTTTTTTGGCATAAATGTCAAGGATGGAGAGCCCCAGGTGATTGTTAATCTTTGTGTTGGTTTTCTGATATCGAGGGCTGGAGGCCTTTTAGTGATTGATCAAGTCTGGGCTGGATTGGCCGTTTAGTTTTTGCAAAAAAAAAAGAATACAACCAATCCTCACTAGGACTTTCTTCATTTTTTTGGCCGACCACTGCTTTTGACAAATGAAAGGCCATCCAGTCTTGACAGTTTGTCTTTATAAAACTACTGCTGCCCGAACTGGTTTCAAAAAAGGCCCTTCCAAAACCCTTGGATTGCCGATAATTCAAGAAAAAAATCAGCCCAGGGCTGGGACCTCCATCTCAAGTTCATTCTTTTAAGTTCAAAGAAAGTGGATGGCAGCAAAACAAAACGACAAACAAACAAAAACACATGAACACCCATACACACGCATGAACAACCATGTACATCCATGGACACCCATGAGCACTTGAGCGCGCATGAGCACCCATGAACTCACATGAATTCGTGTTTTTCCAAATACAATGCAGCTGGCAAATTACTTGTTGAACCATATGTCTCACAGTTTTTGAACTTCTTATTTTGGGCTGTTGGCTATGTGAGTTGTTGATTTAATTATTCTTTTCTTGAACTGAACATTAGTTTTATATTTATGTTTTATTTGTTTTTGTTTTGTCCTGTGGTGGCTTCGCGCCCCGAAAAAGATCCTTGCTGATTTTTGCAAAACATGATTTGTCATTTTTATATTTTTAAAACTATCTATATATAGTTATGTATTTATTCAAATTTATTTCTATATATATACATATGTATATGTATATATATATATATATATTTGCATGTGTGTATATATATATATATGTGTGTGTGTAAATTTATGTATTTATATATATATATATATATATATAAGTGTGTGTGTGTGTGGGGGGGTTGTCTCAAAATGAGGTGTCCTTTTTTCCTCTCAAAGAACCCTTTTTGGAACCAAAAAAACACCTCGTTTTGAGACATATCCATGTATATACAATATATTTATTTTTTGACATGTGTTTTTTTGTTTCTATCCTGTGTTGGTTTGTCCCATCCAAAATATATGGTTTTTGTTTTTCTTTTGTATGTAGTTTTTTCAGCATCATTTTATCGGAAAAAATGTATCAAATCAAAAAATGTTTCATTGGAGATTGCAATATAGATAGATATTTTTATATAAAAATAAAACGAAGTTTTTCCAAAAAAAGGTGCCAAAACAGGTTTTTCATATAAATAACCTATAAGAAAAAAATGTTATTCATATAAATAACCTAAAGAAAAAAAGGTTATTTGATCATTCTGACTATTAGGTAAAACAGTTGTTTTACCTAATAGGTAAAAACAAAATTTAACTAATAGTCAGAAAGCAAGATATAACCTAATAGATAGAATTTAGCCTAACCAGAGCTTTTGGGTATATAATTAGAAACAGTAATACATACATATGGACCCAAGAAATGCACAGATTCAATACAACACCAGGTGTTTTTCGGATGTGGCTGGGATGTTGAACGGTCGATCCCGACATATTTTCCCAAGACGAGTTTCGTGTTTTCACCCTGGAGGATCCAACAGAACATGGCGAAGTAAATGTTCCCTGAAGTAAGTGAGCATTGCCAAGGGAATCTGATTGGATGTTAAATTGGAATTGGACATCTATAAAATGGGGAATCTGATTAATCATCAAATTACTTTACTTCGTGTGATCCCCACCATGACATTTATACATTTTCTTACTGGCAAATCTTCTGGCATTCTATCTGACATATCTTCTGGCATTCTATCTGGCATTCTATCTGGCATATCTTCTGGCATATGTTCTGGCATATCTTCTGGCATATCTTCTGGCATTCTATCTGGCATATCTGCTGGCATTCTATCTGGCCGTTGAGGTCCAGCGGTGCCCACTGAGCTCGGAAGGTCCCAGGTTGAGGTCCAGCGCTGCCCACTGGGCTCGGAAGGTCCCTGGTTGAGGTCCAGCGGTGCCAACTGCGCTCGGAACCTGGCGGTTGAGGTCCAGCCGTGCCCACTCAGATCGGAAGCCGGCAGTTGAGGTCCAACAGTGCCCACTGCGCGCGGAAGTTGGCGAAGAGATTGGCGACGAGTTGGTAAGGCGGAAGTGGACGTGGAAGTTGATGCAGACATGGTCGAGGAGAAACTGGAGGAGGAGGAAGAGGAGGAGGCGGAGGAGGAGGAGAAGAAGGAGGAGGATGAGGAGAACAGCTCTGATAAAATCTAACAACCCTCACCTGGCAGGTGGGGAATTACCAATTTTCCATTGCCATAGTTGATTTCCAGAGTTAGCAGAGGGTAAACCAAACCGATTTAATACCTTAATTGGATTTGATTGGTTGGCTAAATGCCTGGGTAGTCCTTGTTTAGTTGAAGGTTTTTTTCATGGGTTCATGTCTTGCAAGGTTTCTTGTTCTTTGAATTATTTGACACTTTCTTACTCCTCTTATACACCTTGTGTGCTCATGTTTCTTACTTGTACCATCGTGTACCCATATTTAAAGACCAAATTCAAAATTTAAAACCATCTGATACCACGAATATTGCTAGAATTTATATATATACATATATATATATATACACACACACGCATATTGTACCACATGACTTTATATAGCTCTCAAACACACATATACATATATATATATATATATACATACAGCATGACTAATCAGTTAACTTGCCAATTCTTATTCATCAGTCATATCATAATATGAGCAGTGATCAAAACCTTTATATTGATTGATTATATAGACAGCTTTACTGGGTAGTTTGATCTGGGTAGTCGGAACAGTTGGATCCATAGAATGCCCCAAAAAAGTATTTTGTTTCAGTGGAAATTGCCAGTAGGCCCTACTGCTATAAGCCAACTAAGATCAAGTCAATTCAAGATATATATCTACATTTAGAATTATATACATTTATGAAAAGTTATATATCTATAAATAATAAGTTATTGTGTCAATAAGTTATTGTGTCATATCCCATGATATCCCTATATTTCGTTGCAGAATCTCCCAGCCCAACTCGGGCCTGGCCCAGCCCAACGAGAGGTCACCACGGATGGCATCGATGCGCGCTTTGAGTTCGAATTCGTAGAGATGCAGCCTGTGTGGAACGAGGCACCTTTAAAGAGTGTATAGTTAACATCAATTTCTGTACTTATGTCGTGTATATGTTTGTATATGTACATCAACTTTAAGATACATATGTACTCCGTAATACACACATATATATATATTTACACATGATGTACATTATGTGTCCATAGGTATACGTATAATTACCTATATTCATTTTTCCACAGCTGTTTTGTGTGGATGGCTCATGGTTTTCCCCAAGGATGAGAATGAAATGCAGTAGGTAGGGGACAGATTGGGGTTGGGTACTAATCATGGGACCGTTGGTTGACAGGCAGCCGAAGGTACAACTATACCAAAAGAGCTGTATATTCCCAAGTGATTGTTATGATGTGTTAAGTCTATACCTTTTTTTGCCTTTCAACTACCAAAAAAGCAGGCGATCAATCACTCAGTGTAGTGCTGAGAAATGCGCACATGCTTCTTTTGTGGCATGTCCAACCATCATATCCCCCGGTAATCAAACGTACCGAGGGGAACCCTTTTGCGCACTGAATGGAGGCTTCTAGCTGCTCTAGCTGCGACGATCAAAGAAGTAAATATAGTGGATTTTAGATTTTCCAGCAAGTCATGTTTGATGACACCGGAGGATAAATCACGATTAAGATCCATTAAATCAGCCCGTTCTACATGATTTCACCATATATATAATTATATATATATATAGTTACATAATCTATCCATATATATATAGTATCATTTTATATATATGACAATTTAATATTACGTGTATATATATATATATATTTATAACGTGATGGGTGTTTCAACTGCCTACGAGGCGAAGAAGAGGAACCAGCAGCGTATCGGAATTCGTGCCTTGGAGAAGACGCCTTTCTTGAAGTATGAGGGGTTCAGGATTTAAACATTAGATTATATTTGTATATATATATGCTATACATGTTTAAATGCTATAGTGAGGAGCTATAGTCTATAAATGTCTATAATGGTATACATTTGTACTGTATATACTTACATATACCTGATTAGGTTTATATAGGCCATATAAGTAACCAATGGTATATATCAACCAATGATGGTATAAAATCCTGGGATGGTGAAAAATGTACTTGATATATATATCTGGGTAGATTATAACGACCTCACTGTTCTCCCGAACCCTGGAATCATGGTTAATAAGGGGAATCATCCTCAAATGGCCGAACTATTCAGGTTAGAAACACCGCTATGCCAGATAAATGCCAGATAGAATGTCAGAATGTATGTCAGGTACATTGTCTGAAAAAAATAGATCCAATTTCAGAATATACTGTATGTCAGATAAAATGTGGGAAGATATGTCAGTTGGAGGGAATCGCTCGAATAAATTCTCACATACACTACAAAACAAATACAGGGTCTTCATCCTGCATAGCGGTGGTATGTTTCTAGCTTCAAACCTAACAATGAGATCAAATGATCGTTGTTCGATAATATCCTCATTCCATCCCATTCCCCTCTAGTTTTATACGCATTGATGACCCAATCCAGTACAAAGCCTCCAATTGTCTTTAAGGTTTGCAACCAAGCTAAAAGTCAAAACCATATCTGGTCAGGATTGCTACATCACGAAAGGGTATCACATGGGTAAGGCTGAAAGATCCTCAAAGTTTCAGACCCAGCTGTTTAATGATTAGCGATCCGGTCCGCAGTTCTTGACAGATACCCACATGTCTAATGTTGAAACCATCCCCACTTGTGAGAGCGACTCGCTCGTCATTCTGAGTGATAGATGTCTCTATTTGTGCCTTGAAGCTGACATCCCAACACTCCACTTGTTCCAGAATGCGTTAATTCCAGATTATGATCCACCACATCCACGTAATTAGGAAAGTCCTGCACCTTTCGGTTTGCCCCCTGAAATCGCAAAATAGAAAACCTGGCAGATTTTCATCAAGGAACATCCAGAGTCTCACCAAAAGACACACTTTAACTGGGTATCTAAAACATTCTAAAAATGAAGATATGCTGCTGTTTGTTTGTTTTTTCTCGGCTGGTCCTTTTTGTTTTTGCCGAGACCAATACGCCCATTGCCCGTATCCTGAGGGGGTGGCTACAATTTGAACTGGTGTAGCGCCGCGGCAGATGGGAAGTTCATGCTGACTTTTTGGATGGATTGTGTCAGGTCTATCAATATTCATCCTAAAATATTTCAATATTCATCCTAAAATGAATAATTATTGTTCTGAGATGTTCTAGATGTTGGGTTAACTGTTAACAGACGACTCGTTCAATTAAGTCATTGTTTGGTGCATGTTTCGGAGGTCGAATTTGAGACCATTCTGTCCCCCTGGTGGAACAAGTGGGATTCTGGATAACTGATGCTGAGGTCGAAATTGAGACCATTCTGTCCCCCTGGTGGAACAAGTGGGATTCTGGATAACTGATGCTGACAAGCGCCGCATTGAGGAGTGCTGGCAGAAGCAGACCCGAAGACGAAATTGAAGGCTGCGTACAAAAGTCCCAAGATGTTGTACCACAGTGTTTCCTTCAGAGCTGCCCTGGTTGGAGATCTAAAAGGTATATATATATATTTATATATATATATATATGCTTTTTGTGCCATTCGATTGATTTCGTACGTGTCTCACTTCTACTTGCTATAGTACCTATAGGGACAGACACTGGACAAACACAGTAATATCCAATCCAATAGTGTTTGACATCATCTTCATGCTGGCGCACTTTTTAATGAAAAAGACAACATGTCCACCTGGCTGCATCTATAACTGGCGACCCTAAATTTGGTGGTTGCTTGTCATCTTGACAAAATGGCCAGTTTGAGGGGTATGACGGTATGCCATCATATTTCCAGACCCAAATCATAAGTTGCTTGAATAATTCCATTAAGTGAATATATATATATATATAATATAATATATATATAAATAATATATATATATATCACTATTTCTATCATTTCTATTCCCTGTGATCCCTTTGATATTATCATATATATATATATACATATATATATCACTATTGTTATATAGTAAGTATAACCCCTAAGATCTCACCATTTCTTCCATCCAGCATGGCAGGCCGGCTCGTTGGTCTGCGATTTGGAGCTCCCGACGGAGGAAGGCACCAACCTCCTCTTGAATTCCACTCTCCCTCTGGAGGCAAAGATTCGGATGAAGATGGCACGAACATTCATATGCTGAGATGTGTTCTTGTGTAGGCTTTGTGTTGTAATATGTGTATATATATATATATATATCATATTTATGCTATATATATATATCATAGTTTTACAATATGGTGTGTATATATATATAAACATGATATGATATATATATATACACAATAATATATATATATATACACAATAATATATATATATATACACAATACTATATATATATAAATAATATAATATAATATAATATAAAATAATATAATATAGGTTCCATTTTAAGATGTTGGTGTGCGTTTCCCATATCTACATGTATTGATTGGCTTCCACTAATAAATATCTAAAGAACTGTGATTTTGAGCTGGTGCCCTTTCCGAAGAAACAAAGCAACATGCATCGTGACTTGTTGACCCTCATTCGACCCATAAAATACAGCAAGGGGAGAAATATTCTAACGAGACTATATGTGTATAGAAAAAATAATAAACCATCAAAAACAGGGGTCATAGGTCATTCGCATGTTGGGCAAAAGATGGATGGAGTCTAGAAGTCTAGCTATGAACCTGAGGACCTAGATGTTTGGCCTCATTGGCATCATATTTGATCGATGGATTTGCCATTTATCCCACTAAAAGGTAGACTCCTGATAGATGGTCCCATGGTCCCCCCGAGTTATGTCTTCAGTTAAAGACCAACTTAGCTATGGGGCACTACCTTGCAACATATTTCATAGTTATACATATATATATAATCATACATATATACATTTTCAGTAGATGCATCCCTATGATATCCCCATCAAATCTCCACTATGGTTTGTTTTATGCCCAATGTTTGATTAACAGCCCAACAATATCCCAATGATTCCCATTATATTGCCATGATATGCCCATTAAATCCTCATAGTTATGTCAATGGGAATTTCAGAACCCTAACTTGGAGGTACTACACCAGATAAGGCCATAAGTTGTGGGGATATCCCTGAAAATTAGCGCTGCAAAAAAGGCCTTATCTATGGTAGGTGCCTCCAATTTAGGATCCTGAAATGGCCAGTAACTACAGTCATAAGTACTATAAACCATAGTAACATTGGAGTTATTTTCACCAACTGAGCGATTTCGGTGGCCCCACATGCTTGTGAAGTCAACCAACTTCGCTCACCAAATAGTTCTTGGGCTTTGCCCATGATTCTCCCACTAGGAAAACCGGTTAAACCATGATCTTATTCATATCCTACGATATTCCCATGGGAATAGTGATTATAATCCATGAATAGTGACTTATAATCCATGAATAGTGATTTATAATCCATGAATAGTGATTAATCTTAAATCATATTCCCATGCATTTCTATGATTCTCTAGGACTCCGCGTTGCTCCGCGGCCCGGCTTGCCGTGGCAATCGCCGCGGTCCAACGTTCAGGCGCAGTTTCGCCTGGAGCAGACGGGCAAGAACGACCTGCCCAGCAGCGTGGTCATCTCTTCAAGCGCCTCTGAGGTGGCGATTGAAGGAAGAAGGATCCTGGGGGTAAAACATGGTAAAACTATACCATGAAAATGGTGGTTAATAGCGATTTTTATAGTGATTATAATGGTGATGAATGGTGACTAATGGTGATTAAAGGTTATTAATGGTGACTACTGGTTATTAATGGTGGTTAATAGTGATTAATAGTGATTATAATCCATGAATAGTGATTTATAACGGTAAAACAATGCCATGTTTGGCACCCATTTGGGGATGGTAACCACTCCCCACCGACAAAAAAATGGTGATGACTGGGGGGATGGTGCACATGGCATTATTTTACCAACATTAAGCCCAGTACTAAAGTGATATCATGTTATATCATGTTATATCCCAGTCGTTGTAATCATTGTAACCTCGCAGGTTGACGGCCGGGAAATGACATAAAATGACTGGTATGACGGTTCAGGTTGCCACAAATGATTGCGAGTTCAGGTTCGAACCTAGAAACATATGATATCATTTTTTCTGGAGGTTTTCTAAAATGGGAATACCACATAAAACATCCAGTCGTCACTAAACATTAAACCATTTTATCATTGAAACAAGCATGGTAACTTGAGGTACCCGGTATCGAGAACATGCCAAATGAATCTGCCTTGCTGGTGGTTTCCATAAATGGGGGTACCTCAATAGCTTGTTGTTTTTGTTTGAGGGAAAATCCCAATCTATAAATGGATGGTAACGAGGGGTACCCCCATTTTAGGGAACTTCCAAATATCGATTATCCTATAAATATTCAATCAATATCCTATAAATATCCTAGAATTATCCTATCAATATCTATTATGATTTTTGGCTACACATAGCTACACCCCCATAGAAAATTGGCATGTTGCTGGATTCTACCGGTCTCCACTTCACCTTTCTACCTACAAATATCGTGGCTTTTCTAAGGTGCTAAAGTTGGCAGGGTAACCTGCAGTTGGTAGATAAGTGATGTACCCTTATTACTATAGTATGGTTAATGTGTATATATATATGTATGTAATGTATGTATGTATGTATGTATGTATGTATGTATGTATGTATGTATGTATGTATGTATGTATGTATGTATGTATGTATGTATGTATGTATGTATATGTATGTATGTATGTATGTATGTATGTATGTATACACATCCACTTAGAATCTTAACTGCACCCCCAAGTCTTTTTTTGAATCATTCTCTTAGTCCGTGGTCCGTGGTGAAAAGATGTACCAAAAAAAATCAGGATATGTATCTCACGATGAACGGGTGCAAAGGTGGAGGGGGTTGTTTCATGTTTGGCTTCGTCTACGTATGTGTCACGGACTAGGGATACAGCAATGGGTCAAAACTTGTCAAAGCACTTTATACATGTTATTTTGGGACGTTTTGTGGTTTTATGGTCTTGCATATCATGCAATACCACTAATTATCTTTACACGGCCATAGACACATATGACCAGATTGCCCGGTTTTGAATTGGCCACTGCATATCCCTATATTGGAATTAAAGCCACATATCGTAGATATTTGGTCCTTTCAACTATTATTTTGGCTGGCTATGTGGCTTTGTTGGCACATTTGAAAGCATGTATTGCTCTCGATTGAGCCGACAGGATAGCTGCACTGGAAAGTGTGAAGACGATGAATCCCACGTCAAAAGCCAGGCAGCAGGGTTCGGACTTGGGTCTTGGAAGATATGAATTTGAGTGTAACTGGGTGGTGATTTGGAACATTTGGATTATTTTTTCCATATATTGGGAATGTCATCATCCCAACTGACTATGGACTATAGACTATATAGTATTTTGAAACCACCAACCAGGTAATTATCAATGTAGCCTGGGTACCCCCTGAGGATCAATGAGGGGAACTTAAGGAGCATCTTTTGGGAGCCCAGTTTGCCCAGTTAACTCAATCTGACCTTAAAAAACCTGTAATCAGCTGCTAGTCATGGTTATTGACCACTGACTGGAATATGTTGCTAGTTGGTGTTTAATAAATAAATTGCTACCTAAAACTTGGCTGGTGATATCTGTTGATACTGAGCAGAAAGTTAAAAAAGAACCATGGTGGTGGTCCCTTGTGATTTCTCAAAATATGTCCGCAGGAGATTGACAAACTACAGTAACATATTCAATAATGGTTATGATGAATATCACCCATTTACAAACATGGAAATATATGGAAATATACGAGCATGATCATGAACATATCTTAACATCACTAAATTCTCCGCAGATGCTACGCGTTGTTTCGCCTTCCACTTGCCTTTTTGCCCAGGTCTCAGAGGAACTCTATGACTCCGCCGGAGTGGAGGAAACCCTGGAAGTTCGCAGCTTTGGCAAACAACTGAGCATCGAATAGATAGAAATAGCATGAAATAGCCATGCAAAAACCAGTTATGGGTACATGAATATGATATACCCTCTGGTGTTTTTTTCACATAGGGAAATGTATAATGACCATTTTCAATAGGTACTGTAAGTCATCATTTTTATCATCTATGGGTCATTTTCCAGTTCGCTATGTTAAATAACCAGAGAGCAACCAACCATGGGGGCTGCAAATTGAGTAGGGTCACCTACAATCCATGGATTACACCTGTTTCACGTCTCCAAATGTCTCCCCATGTTCAAGAAGCTTGTGAACATTCGTGCCGCAGTGCAAACATGTGAGGAACTATAGTCTATAAATGTCTATAATGGTATACGTATGTATATATATATACACACTTATATTTACATATTTATGGGCAAGTTATAACGACCTCACCGCGACGTCATTGGAATGATGGTTCGTATGAGACGCGTATCCAAATGACCTCATCTCATGTGATTTAATTAGTATAATCAATGTATTATCCATGTATTAATATATATATACACATATTATAATATATATATATGCATATGTGTGTATACACAGCCGATATGCTCCATGAATATTTACCTTTACCACCAAAATACGGCTGAGGCGGAGTTGTTTGTTTCCGAAACTTTTGCAGGGATCGTCCCGATCCGGTCATGACGTACGCAGCTCTACATCGACAAAAGGATTCTTTTCCGAAGTAGAGTCTAAGCAACAAACATAAACTCTATTGTTAATGTCTTTACTTTCCTGTTGATGTTAATAGGAAAACATTAGCAATGTCTACTTTCTTATTAAATGAAAATTGTGTTCACAGATTCCCCGATCATGCATATATCCATCCAGCATCCTCTCCCAGCCCGCTCGAGGCTTAGTTTCTGTTCTCACTGAGAAGTACTGCAGAACTTCACAGCAGACCTTCAAAACGTGGAAAGGGTCACTTGGTCACGAAAGATGTTCAGTGGATCCGGGGCCAACAGTCATGGTATGTCATGGTCTCATGAGTTGAGTTGGGGAATCCCAATAGATGTGTTATCCCCCGCTTACACTCCAAGGTACTCCAAGCATATGATGATTGGTATGAGTCCAAATTGGGCACCCAAAATGTGATGCTTCATAAAAATAAGGCCTGGAGGGTAAGGATTTTGGATTCTGACCCATACCTGTGCCATGGTGGAAACAAGGGCTTCTATGCCTATACCAGGGGACTGTGGCACGTCATAGCCTCGTTGCAAATTGTGTTTTCTCATTACTAGGAGGAACATGACGTTATCAATACCCTCTGGCATAGCCATGGAAATAGGTAAGCAATAAACAATAATGTAGAATGTAAACAAATGTTCAGTTTCGATGGCATTGTGAAATAGCCTGAGAGCACATTCACATGTGGATGCTACATTGTCATGTTAGATTAGGGTTAGAAGGCACTTGCAGCCACACACTGGGGTACATGAAAATAATTATTTTGTCGTTTGCATTGTCATTTTTTTGTCATTTGCTTCTGTCGTTTTTTTTTGTCCTGTCATTTGTCCCTGTCATTTTTCTGTCATTTTTGTGTCATTTTTTTGTTGTTTTTTTGTTTTGGTCCTGTCCCTTGTCCCTGTCATTTGTTTGTCATTTTTTGGACATTTTTATATCATTTTCCTATCAGTTTCTACAATTTTTGATGATTTTCTTTAATTGTTCGATTTTTTTCTAATTTTCTAGCATGAAATCAATAAATCCATTGAGAAAGTGAAGAAAACAGTTGAAAAAATGAGAAATTCAAAGAAAACTATTGAAAAAATGAAGGAAACCAATGAAAAAATTAAAGAGCAACAAAGAAAACAAATGAAAAAGTGAAGAAATCAAAGAAAACCAGTGAAAAATGAAGAAAACCAATAGACAATTGAAGAAAATCAAGGAAAACCATTGAAAAATTAGAAAAATACAGGAAAAGCATGAAGAAATGAAGGAAATCAATGAAAAATGACAAAAAAATGACAAAAAAATGACAAAAAAATGACAAAAAAATGACAAAATGACAAAGTTTCATGAACCAGAAAAAACATTGAAAATTGTTAAAAACCTTGGGGTTTTATCATTTTTTTTGTCATTTTTCTATCATGTTTCTATCATTTTCCTATCATTTTCTACAATTTTTGATGTTGTTCTTTAATTTTTCGAAATTTTCTTTAATTTTCTAGCATGAAATCAATACATCCATTGAACAAGTGAAGAAAACAATTGGAAACATGATAAATTCAAAGAAAACTATTCAAAAAATGAAGGAAACCAATGAAAAAATGAAGAGAAACAACGAAAACAAATGGAAAAAGTGAAGAAATCAAAGAAAACCAGTGAAAAATGAAGAAAACCAATAGAAAATTGAAGAAAATCAAGGAAAACCATTGAAAAATTAGAAAAATACAGGAAAAGCATCAAAAAATGAAGGAAAACAATGAAAAATGACAAAAAAATGACAAAAACATGACAAAAAAATGACAAAAAATGACAAAATGACAAAGTTTCATGAACCAGAAAAAACATTGAAAATTGTTAAAAACCTTGGGTTTTTATAATTTTTTTGTCATTTTTCTATCATGTTTCTATCATTTTCCTATCAGTTTCTACAATTTTTGATGATTTTCTTTAATTGTTCGATTTTTTTCTAATTTTCTAGCATGAAATCAATAAATCCATTGAGAAAGTGAAGAAAACAGTTGAAAAAATGAGAAATTCAAAGAAAACTATTGAAAAAATGAAGGAAACCAATGAAAAAATTAAAGAGCAACAAAGAAAACAAATGAAAAAGTGAAGAAATCAAAGAAAACCAGTGAAAAATGAAGAAAACCAATAGACAATTGAAGAAAATCAAGGAAAACCATTGAAAAATTAGAAAAATACAGGAAAAGCATGAAAAAATGAAGGAAACCAATGAAAAATGACAAAAAAATGACAAAAAAAAGACAAAGTTTCATGAACCAGAAAAAACATTGAAAATTGTTAAAAACCTTGGGGTTTTATCATTTTTTTGTCATTTTTCTGTAATTTTTCTATCATTTTCCTATCGTTTTCTACAATTTTTGATGTTGTTCTTTAATTTTTCGAAATTTTCTTTAATTTTCTAGCATGAAATCAATAAATCCATTGAACAAGTGAAGAAAACAATTGGAAACATGATAAATTCAAAGAAAACTATTCAAAAAATGAAGGAAACCAATGAAAAAATGAAGAGAAACAACGAAAACAAATGGAAAAAGTGAAGAAATCAAAGAAAACCAGTGAAAAATGAAGAAAACCAATAGAAAATTGAAGAAAATCAAGGAAAACCATTGAAAAATTAGAAAAATACAGGAAAAGCATGAAAAAATGAAGGAAATCAATGAAAAATGACAAAAAAATGACAAAAAATGACACAATGACAAAGTTTCATGAACCAGAAAAAACATTGAAAATTGTTAAAAACCTTGGGTTTTTATAATTTTTTTGTCATTTTTCTGTAATTTTTCTATCATTTTCCTATCAGTTTCTACAATTTTTGATGATGTTCTTTAATTGTTTGATTTTTTCCTAATTTTCTAGCATGAAATCAATAAATCCATTGAGAAAGTGAAGAAAACAGTTGAAAAAATGAGAAATTCAAAGAAAACTATTGAAAAAATGAAGGAAACCAATGAAAAAATTAAAGAGCAACACAGAAAACAAACGAAAAAGTGAAGAAATCAAAGAAAACCAGTTCAAAAAAAATGACAAGGCAAATGACAAAAAATGACAGATCAAATGACAGAAAAAGACACAAAAATGACAGCACAAATGACAGAAAAATGACAGAACAATGACAGGTAGAATTTAGGAATGACAAAAAAATGACAAGGCCAAATGACAGAAAAATGACAAAAAAATGACAAAATAATTATTTCCAGGATTCTCAGCCTGTGGCTGACCAAGTTCTTCCTAAGATTAGGGCCTGGAATTGCGATTTTGGCAATGCATGGAACACCCAGCATTTGCAATACAGCCATCCAACTGGGCTTGGGTATGTTTGCCAATTGCGTGTGTTTCGATCACCAGAGGGTATCCTTGTAGGTCAAGGCTGCTCGACTGCAAAAGTAACTTGGGTCACATTAAAACATTGGACTTTTTTTTAGATCCCGCCAAAATAAGGGCCATCGGGCTTCCACGTAGCCGTATATTGGCGCATGTATGTATATATAAGCATACACTATATACATATATATATATATACATACATATATATATACCTGGAAAGCCGTTTGAACAAAATTTTTTGTTCATTATGGGAAAATCTGGTCGAATACACCTTTTAATGATCAATGAACAATTTTACCCGTAATGACCAGATAATTTGGTCAATTCACGATATTGCTATTGGAGGTGCGCCCGATCCTTGCATCCAAGGCTCACAGTATGGATGTGAATGATGTGAAATAAAAAAGGGGAAGATGCATGTGACCATGCACCCCAAATCGAGAATGGAAGAAATATATGATGGGTGCCATAGAATATATTATGTGGCATAGACTATATATTATAGATTCCCAACAGGGTCTCTTGAAATATGTGCATAGAAACCATGCGTCCTGATTGGGATGATTGCATCGCTGCTGAGCACGTTGAGGCCCGCTCTGATTACGTGGGGGGGGGCATCGAAAAACGAAATAAGTTTGATTTGATTTCTTGCCATGAATTCTATCTTGCAAGTACAGTTGGCTTTTGCTGGAAGCTTTTGGGCGTTCCCTTCAGAGCAAACCGGCTCAAAAAAAAAACGTTTTGCTGCCTTGCTATGGCGAACCTTTATGGTGTTGCTAAGCATTGGTGGATGGAGCCTTCCATCCAAGAGAGGGTGAAAGAGGGCGGCATTGGTGCCATTGTTGTAACCAACAATACCCAGCCCCTTGCATCCAAAGATGTACGTCATGCCTTGTGGAACAGAGAAGTCTTGATCCCAATCATGGAGAATATGCGATACCACCACCTGATCAAGACACCTGATATGGGGACGATTCAAGACCAAGTTTGGATTCTCCAGCTGCTGTCTACCAAGCAGGGATTTGATGCCCACAACCTTCCTCCAATCCCTGAAGAGTTGGAAGTGCCGGTTCATTTGTCGGTGATTAGCATTAAGAAGCTGGTGTCATATGTGCGAGCCAAGTACATTCGTCCTCACATGCCACGGGACAAGGGTTCCTTTCTTCATGCATGTTTCCATTTTTTTATGTGATTATCAATCATGCAGTTCAAATCAGATCATAATTTCCAGGTCTTTCCCGGAACCACAGTATGTATTTTCTTCCATTCCAATTTGCATATGATGGATGGAAGAAATCCTGCACCTGCACCGCTTCGTGCCCATGTATAGTGGTAACACTTATAACTATAACTGCAATGGGACTATATTGGATAAACCATCTATCATCCGGTGCAAGATTTCTTCCATCCACAATATGGTTCAGATCCCTTGGATCATATATGCCCCATAGCTACCCTGGAGGACGCAGACTTCAGAGAGCTCTTGACCCACTTTGGCGAGTTGGAGCCTTTTTTGCACCCGGCACATTGTCCATGGTTCATCGGGCCAGCACACTTTCAAATGGTAAAGGTGAAACCGGTGAAACCAATGAATTTGACTGCAGGCTGAGGTTGATATATAGATTTTATGGGAATCATTTCAATATATTTGGAACCCTACATTACATGCATGTATACAGTTGTTGCAATATGTTGGAGTGTTTGCTATCAATTCCCACCGGCCTTGGCCGCGCAACTCCGCCTCTCAGGAACTCTATTTAGACCTCCCCGCGGACAAGTCAGCTCCTGACGACAGCGAGGATGAGAAGGGCGAATCTAAGGAGTGTGATCTACGTGATCGGGTTCGTCAGGTGCCAATTCCTTCACCTACTACAACCCCGGTTGTGCCAGCTCTGGCTGAATCT